CCAGTCACAAAAAGACAAATACTGTATTGATTCCATTTATACTTGTATGAGGAACCCAGAGTTGTCAGATTTATGGAGACAAAGTAAAAGAGTGATTGCCAGGGAATAGGGGGAGGAAAGAATGGAGAGGGGGGGGGCGTGGCTGAGGCCTTCAGCCCCCCACTGCCCCAGGACAGGAGAACCCAGGGCAGCTCGGTGGTCATCACTGGGCTGGTTGCTCATGTTGGGGGTGTGACAAGGCACAAGGCCCCCCACCGCCCTGGCTTGGGAGAGGACTGGGCGCTTCCTGCAGCAGCTCAGTCGTCATTGCTGGGGTGGTTGTGCTTGTCAGGGGGATGTTGCCAAGGCCCTTGGCCCCCACCCTCAGAACTGGTTGCGCATGTCAGGGGCATGACTGAGGCCCCCCCGGCCCTCCCCCTTTTTGTTTTGGTATCTGTATTTGTCCTTTTTGTGTTGCTATAACAGAATACCTGAGACGGGGTGATTTATAAAGAAAAACGAAATTTATTGCTTACAGTTTCTAAGGCTTCTGAGGGAAGTTCAAAGTCCATCTGGTGGTGGCAACAGTGACCCAGGGGTCTAAGATTGCAAGATGGTGGAAGCAGAGAGAGCAGAGAGCACAGATCGAGAAAGACAGACTCTCCTCTTCTTTTAAAGCCCTCAGAACCACACCCCTGACCACCATTTTCAATCCATTCACTACTGCACAGTCCTACAATCCAATCACCTCCTCAAGGCTGCACCTTACAATTACCATAATAGGATTTCCCGCCCTGTTAACAGTCACAGTGGGGGCTAAGTTTCTAATACATAAAACTTGGGGGACACAATTCAAGCTTCACTGAGTTTTGGGGGGACATAACTCAATCCACTACAGTATCCTAGGGGACTTCCAGTCCTTCTAGGTGTTATAGGTGTTCTTTGGTGAAATGAGACCTTTACTAGTTAATATCAAACTTTGTCTCTGGTTGTGGGTACTTTTTTTCTTTCAGTTCTGTATTGGATTATTTGCTGTTACCACCACTTAAACTCTGCACTGGAACTAATTTGCTGTCCTTTGCTTACTTCTAAAGTGGGGGAACTTCCTGTGGGGTCCAGTACTTGAGCTCTGTGGTTGAGCTAAATTGCTGCTTTTCTGCTGATTCCCTGGGGAAGCCTTTTTGTGCAGCTCAGGTTTTAATTGCTGACTTTATAGGTACTTCAGGTTCTAGTGAAATTCTGGTCTGGGCCCGAGTTTTTTCATCAAACTGCACCCCATGCAATTCTATATCCCTGACCAGTCTCCTCTGAGTGGTCCTGTGCTGATTGGGGGGCAGATCAGCTGTCCTTGCTGTGCCCCAGTGTTCTCCCAGGGGGCCCATCTCCCCCACCGCGCATGCTCCAAACACTTCCCATGGGACGAGCCATGCTCTGGTCCCTTGCAATGACTCATTGGCCTCTGAGTGGCTCCTTTTTTTCAGTTGTTGTGGCCCTTGGTCCTATGTGGGTCCATGGGAACCCTATTAGTGATATTGCTGGCCTGGGGGCCACCAAGGCCCTCTTCTCCCCTGCCACCTCCAAGCAACTTCATCCAAAAGTCATCAAAAAGCTGTGGCTTTTCGCCAGCTTCTGCTCCATGTGCTCAGCAGCTCTAGCCTGGAAACAGCCAGGATTTGAAACAGTCAGAACAATTCTTTCTTTCTCTCATTGTGGCTTCTCCCATCTTCATGCACTCCATAGGTCTCTCCTCCTCTTCCCTTGAGCTCTAGTGGCCCCAGCCTGGCTGTCGTTGCTTTTTTATAGTTGTAGATTGGTTGATTTGTAGGAGGGAATGCCACTGGGGACTGTCTCCTCCACTGTTTTGACTGGAAGTCAACATGTGTCTGAATATAATAAACATAATTGAGAAAAAAATAACATTGATACCAAGTGTCCAAAAGAATGTGAAGCAGCAGGTGGGCTCATACACAGTGGCATGTGTGTGAACTGGGGTAATCTTTTTGGCAGTTTCCATCAATATTTCACATATTCTTGCTTGATCAAACAATTTCACTTAAAGACATTTATCATATAAAAATATTCACACACGTGCACAAAGGCATACATATGAAGTTTTATTAATTGCAGCAATGTTTGCATAAGTAAAAACTTGAAAGTGACTCAAGAGCCCATCAGTAGGATATTGATTAAATAATTTATGACTTATCACTACTATGGAAAACTGTGCTAGATTTTAAAAGAATTATATGAACTGATTTGGAAAGACATCCGAGAGTATTATTAAGAAAACATGGCAAGTTTCAGAACAGTTGTACAAAAATACGTATAACGTATGTATAAACATACATATAATCCCATTTTTGTAAAATAATATAAAAGTGTTAGGAAAAATCTGGAAAATTTTTTTGAGAGAATACACATCCTATTGTTAACTGTGGCCATCTCTGACTCAGGTCTGTATGGAAATATAGGGGACATTTGTTTCCTAAAATACACGTTTTTGTGTTCTTTGAGTTGTTTGCATTGAATTTTTGAAACCAGAAACATAAAAGAAGGAAATGTAAAGGGCAGGATTCTTCATACTGTAAAAAAAATCGAGCACCTCTGGCACCTGTTGTAGCCTCCTCAGAGGTGTTGTACCCACCTCCTCTCTATCGATGTCTAGGCAGACTTCAGCCTCCCCAAGCATTTCCTAAGAGCTTCAGTTTATTCAGCCAGCCCCACTTTCTGGCCTCTGGCCTTTGGACTCTGGATGACAACCAATTCCCTTTTATTATAGGCTCTTTATTGTTTATCAGCTGACTGTGGCAACTAAGGTGTGAACGTCCACAGGGCAGGGTGTCCCCATCTGTACGCTGGCCACAGTGCCAGATAGGTAGAAGGAAGCTGAGCCAGGCCTTGCACTGCAAAGGGAAATGATGCCCCCTCTAGATCCCTGATCAGGGCAAGGGAGACTGGCACCCTGTCCTTATTCCCACCCAGGGAAACTTAGAGGGGAGCACATGACCCTGGCACTTATTGTTGAGCACTCTGTCCCTGCAGGGACAGCTCACACCTCACCCACTGCCTTCTATGCAACATGGCTCCAGAAAGGGAGCCCTCTTCCCTCCAAGATTCCGAGTGAGGGCTTTCCTAGGAACTTGAAAGACTCAGGAAAGCTTTCCATAGGGCCTGGAATTTAGACTTAAGGCACTAAGTACTCAGGCCAGTGGTACCTCATGATGGCAACAGTGTCTCCACAGGGGTTCACCACAGACTATCATGTAAAGCCTTCACTAATCTTTCCTCTGCAGAAGACACTCCTTATTCACACCTCCCTGCCTCGATTCTCAGTGGGGAAGCCAGACCTGCATCAAGCCATCGCACCAGGCCGCCCAAACCATCTAGAGCTCCCTGCACACAGCAGGTATTTAATACATGCTTCTTCTGTGGAAGGGTGGGTATCCTGGGCACCTGGGTTGGGGGAGGTCTGTAAAACACTGATGGTTGAGCCCCACCCCAGAGTTTCTGATTCAACAGGGCTGGGTGAAGACTCAGAATCTGTATTTCAAACATATTCTCATGTCATGCTGATGCTGCATTTCCTCCACATTTTGGGAATGCCGTGTCTGAAGACGGAGCATAGTCAGAAAGGCCAGTCAGGAAGCTGTGCCCCACTCCAGACCAGACAGGACCGGTGCCTGAAGCAGGAAAGGGCTGCAGGGATGGAAGGGCGGACACAGAGCTGAGACACATTTCCAAGGGCTGGAACACAGGCAGGGTGCCCAGGTGGCTGTGGGAGAATGAGGGAGAGAAAGGGTTCTAGACTGATTAGAAAGTTCTAGAGGGACTGAGGGGAAGAACTCAGTGGTAGGGAACACAGGAGGCGCAGCAGATTTGAGGGTAGAGGAGAAGGGTTCAATTTCGGACAGCTTGAGTTTGAAGAGCCAGAGAGTCATCTGAATGGGGATGTCCAATAGGCAATTGATCATTTTAGTCTGGCTTGGGCGTGAGGTATTGGGACTGTGGGAATGTGGAGCTGAAAGTGATTACCACACAACTGGTAGCTGACACTGTGGGCAAGGACACAGCCACCCTAAGGGGGTACACAAATTACAAAAAGAGCGAGAACCCAGGACTGGGGAAAATTCTGTAGGCTTCCAATAGGCAATTGATCATTTTAGTCTGGCTTGGGCGTGAGGTATTGGGACTGTGGGAATGTGGAGCTGAAAGTGATTACCACACAACTGGTAGCTGACACTGTGGGCAAGGACACAGCCACCCTAAGGGGGTACACAAATTACAAAAAGAGCGAGAACCCAGGACTGGGGAAAATTCTGTAGGCTTGTGAGTCTTGTTAGGTGTGTCTCAGCCCTGAAGCAGGTCCCTTACTTAGTCTGTAGTTCTCAATATTTAGGGAGTGGTAGAGGGAATCCACTAAGGAAAGGAGACAGGAAAGAGCCAAGTTCCAGAGGAAGCTTAAGGTGTCCTGGGACCCCCAGGTGACTCGGCCCAGGGGTTACGAGCTCATGCAGAGGGGCAGCAGATGAGTAGGTCAGAGGGGACTTTTTTTTCCCAGCTAAAGATGGCATTTCCCTTCGGCTTTTAGCTGTCCCAAGGTTGTGCCAGATAAGGCATAATTGCACCCACTTTGGGGACACTGCATGGGTGTCCCAGGCAGACCCAGGGGCAGCAGGCAGCAGGGCCTGAGAAGGGAGGTGTGGACAGAGAAGGCCCACTGCCATTCTTGGTATGGTTCTCTCTCCAGGAGCAGAGCCGCATCTGGCCTCACTCTGGGCAGCTTATAAGGCCTGGTGTGAGTTCTGTTTATGCAAGTGAAGCTTAAAAGGAACAAATCCACTAGCACTGGGGTTGTTGCCACTCGAGTCCTTTTGCATACATTTTTCAAATGATAATTCACTCTGCCCACCCCCCTTTCCCCACCCCCCAAGGCCGATTTATTGAAAAAACCACCTTATATGGTAATACTGCTAACACACCGTCAGCTGGCCTTTTTAGGGACTCTGTTTAAAGAAGATCCGCCTCTGGGGTTTTATATTGCTCTGGTACTTATGCCAAAGACACAGCAGCCCTCAGTCACTGGGAGAAGAACCTCTCATACGCTCGGTGAGTACTGTATGTACGGCTTCAGCTGCCTCTTGCTTTCTGGGGCTCCCTGGGTGCGGGAGTTTCCTCAAGATTGGCCTGGCTACTGTGACGCTGACCCAGGTCACACAGCAAGGCCCTTGGTGTGCAGTAGTGCCTGCAAGCACACTGCTGCCTGCCAGGAAAAGGCATTTCTGGCCATGAGGCATCTCGGGGCAGGGGCAGCTTGGAACCATGCTCCCTGCGCTCAGATTGGCGCAGGGATGTGATGCCTGCCTCTCTATTTACCCTGCTCACCGGGGCCAGCACAGATCGATACCCTGATGTCCTTTGTCATGGGTCAGAATGTCTGGGAGGCTGTTTTAGGGGAGTAAATACTTTGCAGAAAAACAACTTCTTCTCAGGGTGTTTGAATGAAAGACAACAATGGTGTTGGTGTCCACAAGATGTCTATGCTGGTAATGGGAGAGTATTTTCTTCAGTCCCCCTGTGGGTCTCTGTCCTCTGATTTGTGCTTCGCTGAGATGAATGGAGAATTTTCTCAGTCCCTGAAGTCTTAAGGTCTTTGGGGGATAGGGAAAGTCAGGGGTGGGGTGGGGACAAGTGTCCAGTGGCATCATGAAGTTTTAGAGCTGGAAGGAACTTGGTAGCCATCTAATTTATTCTCCTCTGATGAGGACAATGAGGCCCAGAGAAGTTAAGCAGCTTGTCCAAAAGACACACCCAGCTGTGAAGCCACCTGCCAATGCCACTGTCCCACCCAACACACACAGAGACACATGTGCACAAAGAATTAAGAGGAAGATGAGACCTTCCACTTTTGTGATCAGAGTCTGCCAGCATCTCTTTGCAGGTGAGTCAGGCTGGTGTACTAGTGCAAGCCTTGGAGGCAGACTGCCTGGCTACCACAGTTACTGAGCATCCTCAATTTCCTCACCTGCGAAATGGGGGTAATAGCAATAATATTTACTTGGCAGCACTGTTGTGAGGATTAAATGAGATCACGTATAAAGCATTCAGCTCAACACTGTCAGGGTCTGGCCTTGAGTTCTCAAACTTTAAGAATCACCTGGACCACTTGTTAAAACACAGATTGCTCTACACACCGCCCCAGATTCTGATTCAGTAGGCCTGGGAATTCGCATTCCTAACAAGCTCCCAAGTGATGCTGAGGCTACTGGTCTGGAACTGCGCTTTGCATAGTGAGGCTCTAAATACTCTCTTTTATTATTTGAATGTGGGTTTGGACTTTGAGTCAGCCCTCGGGCTGAAAAGAGGCAGAGCTTGCTGTGGCAGAGATCAGTGGGTGCTGAAGAGACTGCAACGAGCAGTGAGAATCTACCTGCCAGCCTGAGAAACCTGGATGAGCAGTATGACATAAGGACCTTGGCGGAGATTTCTTTTCTCCTTCCTTTTGTTTATTCTGCCAACAGTTACTAAGCACTTAGTATATGCCAGGCACTGTCCCTGCTCTTTAGGGACAGTCTGGGGGCTTCTGCAGTCACTGGGAAAGACGAATAAACAGATGAGAACCATGAAGTAGATAAATATATATGAAAGGGGTAAAGCCCTGGAGGAGCCCCGCGCTCAACCTAGGAGTTATCAGGGAAGGCTTCCTGGAGGAAGGGGTGCCTGGGCTGGGTCCTGAAGTAGGGTAGTCCTGGTAAAGAGAAAGCATGGTCTTTGGGACTCTTAAATAGCCCAACTCCACTGAATTTAGATCGCAAGGCCGGAAGCAGAGAGAGCTAAATCCACAGGGCTGGGCAGGGCTGGATTAGCTAAACTAAAGGTTCGGGAAATCGGGGGCCCTGGGAAGGTTTAAATCTAGAGGGTGACAGCAAGAGATTTGCCCTTTGAAGGGACTGCTCTGGCAGCTGTAGGGAGAGTGGACCTGCACGGGGTAAGAGCGCTGCTGCAGTGTGCGGTGGCCCGGAGCTGGTGACACCTGTGGCGTGGCGGTAGAATTACCAGAGGGGCTGGTGATTGATTGGTTGAGAGGAAAGAGGGCGGGGCCAGGGTGGTGGGTGTGGCCTCCGGGGTTGGCTGGTGCGATTCTCTGAGGGCGGTTCCAACTAGAGGCCGGTGGTGAGGAGAGCAGTCCTGGAGGTATCGAGTTGAAGGGCCAGGGGGTTGCGGGGGACATGCACAGCGGCAAGTTGGTTGTGCAGGTCTGGCGCTCAGAGAGGGCTCTGGACAGGAGTTGAGCCGGGGTAGTGAACGGGAGGCCGGGGTAAGAGCTGGAAGAGCAGACGCCAAAGGCAGATTCCTAATGATCAGAAATTTTAATTGAACTAATGCGTATGAACCCAGTGAAGATACCCTTAAGTTAACTATAGGTGCTGTTAGAATTTTCCAGTGTGGGAGTGTTTCTCATGAAATGATTTCTCTGCCAGGTTTTCTGCAGCAGGTCATAACAGGCAGATAGGCACCTACATACACGTCATTTGAAGACGTAACCCCCAAATATGTACCCAACCATTGTCTGAAATCTCATCATCTGAGAGGCCTTACTTTTAGGGCTAAAACTTGCATTTGAAATGAAAATGTCTTTGGAAACTAGCATAAATTCAACCCTCAATAGTCATTGATTTGTGAAATAGATCATTCAATTCCTTCATATATGACAGGCTCCATCCTGGGAGCAAGTTTTGATGGAGAAGAGTAAGAGAGATTAATAAAAATTATTTACTTATGCAGCCTTTTACAACAGGGTTGACAAACCTTTTCTGTACAGGGCCAGATAGTAAGTATTTTAGACTTTGCAAGCCTGGAGTTGTCTGTCACAGGTACTCACCTCTGCCATTGAATCAAAAGCAGCCCTAGACATATGTAAAGGAATGGGTGTGGCTGTGTTCTAATAAAACTTTATTTATAGACACTGAAATTTGAATTTCATGTAATTTTTAAGGGTCATGGAATATGATTCTTCTTCTGCTTTTTTTTAATCATTTTAAAATGTAAAAACTATTTTTAGCTCATGGACTATACAAAAACAGGCCTGAGTATGCCTACCTTGATTTACAATTTATAAAGCACTTTCTTATCTTTACTTCATTTGATCCACCATCCTGTGAGATAGATGTGATTGTTCCCATTTTATAGTGAAGGAAACTGAGGGCCAGAGAGGGACACATGGACTGGACCGTGGGAAAGGGGTGCAGGAGGGAGAAGAAGGGAGTGGGGAGAGGAACTCTGGAGCCAAACTTGTCCCTTTGGAGTGAGGGGAAGGTGGGTTTTAACAGCTCTGCCCTCACATTGGGTTGGGGTTGGCCAGGGAGGTAGGTTAAGTGAGCAAATTATTTGCATTCATATATTTTTGGTTTTTGGCCACCTTTGGGGGAAAAAATAATCAAAGCTGCGTTTCTAACTCCGTGAGATCCTCAATGAAGCCCAGATGTAGTACGTGCTGGAAGCCAGAACAATTCGCTCTGCTTCCCGCGAGTGCAAAGCGGTTGTGACCCCAGGAAACCACAGTGACTTTGGCTCTGGTTCAGCTGACATGCTCGAGTCTAGCCACAAATTACCAGAAAGCAGCTGAGGAAGGTTTAGAATTTCTCCTGCCTCCGGGGAGAAGCCTCCTTCCCAGGGCGGCGTGGGCCCCGCGGAGGCTCCACTGCAGCAGCCCTCGCCCCGCCTTCACCGCCCTCGCTTCTCATTTGGTTCCGCCTTCAATAAAGCAGATTGAAAGCCACCTGAAGTGCTGCAGAACGGCTTGGTGACAGCTTGAAGTCGCTTTGTGGCTTGTCTCAGCTGCCGTTCTGCTTGAGAAACAAAGTCCGACGCTCTCTTTCTTTCTGTGTAATAGGGGACTCCGGGGGGTCCCGGAGTTCATTGAAAAGCCAGACAGGCTTGAACTATAAATCACACAAGAGAGAGGGACGCTAAGCGGATCCTGGAGCGAGACAGTCACAGAGGTGCTGCTTTGCCTCTTGGCCACCTTCTAGCTTTCGAGGTTGTTTTCCCCTCAAGGTGGATCTCCTGCTAGGACAGGGCAGCATCGCTGTTTGCTGGCCAGCTTGTGAAGAGAAAACCGTGCCCATGGGGTTCTGAATCATGCCCGTGTGAGCAAGCCTTAATGAGACTGGACCGTGGGGACCCGGAGATTTCAAGGGCAGAGCAGACCATGTCTGGGAGGGGGCCACTCAGGTGGTGGGATTATCATCCAACATTTACCAAGCACCTACTGTCTTAGTCCATTTTTGCTGCTATAACCGAATATCTGAGACTGGGTAATTTATAAACAATAGAAATTTGTTTCTCATAATTCTGGGGACTGGAAAGTTCAAGATCAAGGTGCCAGCTGATTCAGTGTCTGGTGAGGGCTGCTGTGCTTCTAAGATGGCGCCTTGTTGCTGTGTCCTCACATGGCAGAAGGGCAAGAGAGCCAGAGGGCCAAACTCACCTATAATGAACCCACTTTTGAAATAAGGGCATTAATCCATTGATGAGGGCAAAGTTCTCACGGCCTAATCACTTCTTAAAGGTCCCATCTCTGTTACAGTAGCAATTAAATTTCAACATGAGTAGTAGAGGGGACAGACATGCAAACCACAGCACGTATGTGCTAAACACCTAGTTAAGTGCTGGGACTATGAATGTAAATCCAGACATGGTCCTGGCATAGGAGGGATTCAGAGGTTCATAGAAAGAAAAGAATACAGGTCCTTTTGTTTTAAGGCTTTTGCTGCCAACAGCTCTAGAGAGACAGGCAGGCAGAAGCAAAAGCACCAAACATGGAGAAGTTATGAGAGTTTCACTAACACGGTAAGAAAGGCGCATGCTCGGGCTTTGGAACCTGTCCTGGGTTGATGCCAGCCCTGCCTCTCCTAGTCTCTTCCTGGCTAGATCTCTGGCCAAGTTCTCTGGCCAAGTTCTCTACCTTCTCTGAGACCTGCTTTCCAATCTATAAGATGGAATTAAAATATCTTTTCTCAGGGCTGTTGTGAGGATAAATAAATAATATATGAGAAGGACCCCAAATTTCTGAAATTAAAAATACATTTTTACCAAAAATAGAACCACTGAACATACTACTGTGTTTCACCTAACAAAGCAACTTGCATCTTTTCCACTGCATTAAATATTTTGCTTTCTCCATTGTATGGGGGTTTCTGGCAATTAGTTTACAAACCAATTTACTTATTATTCAATAACTTTTTCAACATGAAGATTGTTTCTGATTTTGATCATTTTAACCAAAACTGTAATAAACAGGCTCTTGGCCAAATCTTTGCACTCACTCATGACTGTTTCACAAGGATACGTTCTTAGAAGTGCTTTTGTCGAGACAAAAGATATACACAAATACACACACACACATATATATATATATATATATATTTTTTTTTTTTTTTCTCAAATCCTCCTTCGGAAAGTAGTACAATTTGACACTCACTAGCAGTGAATGCGAGCCCATTTCTCCATACCTTTGCCAACAAGGGTGGCCCCAAGAACTGGACGCAGCACTCCAGCTGGGGAGGGGTAGGATAGCTCTTCTGGCCACAGCACCCCACTGACAGTCAATAAGACATGAGGTCCTGCTCACAGATGCTGAAAAAGAGCTTTCATAGTTTAGTTATGTAGGACCTCATATTTATCCCAGTAAGTTTAATGTTGTTTGATTCAGCTCATTTTCTCTGCCTTTTGAAATCTTCTTGGATATTGATTCTCCCATCCAACATGTTTAATATTACTTCCTCCCCCAGCTGTTTAAACTGGAAATTTAATCAGTGTATGCTCTATATTTTCATCCAATTCATTTATAAAATTGTCACAGGAGAAAGGACCCAGAGTGGAACCCTGAGGCATGTCACTGCCTCCAGGTTGACATTGACCCATTAATTAACACCTTTTAGTGACAGTATCTCAGGCAGCTGTAAATATGCCTAATTGTATTATTGCTTGGCCACATGGCTTTATCACAGGGATAGCTTTTTTCTGGGCCCTGCGGGTGGGTTAGAGAGCTGGGGCTCAATCTCCACAGCCTCAGAAGGCCATGAGGATCAACAGAGATAGAAGCAAAGCTGGATTTAAGAAGTCACAGCAGACCTCTCCCCTCGTTTGAGCCTTGCTTTAAATATAACTGGGAAGGGCTCCGTTTTATTCTTAAAATTGTGTTAAAAGCTTCTGCTCAGTCTCTCCTTGGCCTTTCTGACCTTGCATTCAGAGGTTTGTGGTGCTGTCTCCTCTTTGCTTTGGTCATGGTCTTCGCTGTCCAGCTTCAGGACTGGGGCCAAGGTCGCAGATTTCTGTAGCATCTCTCTCCCTCCTCCACAGCAGAGCCACCTGTGGTGGCACATTCCAGATGAAACTTTGGCCGGCCTTCCTCTAACACGGCTGGCTGTCTGCTCTTTCTGAGCCTCATAAGTCTCTTTTCCTTGGACGTCTGAAAGTCTGCCCCCTGTCCCCTCGGCTGGGGCCTTCCTCACTTCCCTTCCATCCCACCAGGTCATCCCAGGCTGGGAGGAAATCTGCTCATTGCCTCCTGAGGCTCTGTTGTGCTCCTTCACTGCCAAGTGTCAAAACTTTGTTGGATGCTGTCTTTTAACTCAAAAAAAAAAAAAAAAAGGAAGGAAGCCTGCAGCAAATATTGGAAAACTAATTCCTTCATCACTTTGCATCTGTCCTAATTCAGATCTCAGTGCTGGAGGAGGGAATTCTCTGTCTTCTTCATCTGCTGAAGCAGCAGACCATGAGTCCCATCACGAAGTCCCTGCCTGTCCTCCCTCTTCTCAGGCTGCCCCTTCCTCTTCAAGGTGCTTCTACGCTTAGGGTTGTACATTTCACTCATAACTACTGCATCCTTTTTCTTTAATGATATGTTAGGTCAAGTTATTGATTTTAGTTATATGTACTATACGTGACTACAGTTTCCTTGTAGGAAATGAAACCATTGCAGATATAATCCAGCACCTCCTCTCCCAGTCCCCTTCCCCATCCCCATAGGTAAACACAATGACCAGTCTGTTAGGTATCCTTTCAGAACTTTTTGCTATGTATTTACACCCAACCTTTTTCTTTAATGATATGTTAGGTCAAGTTATTGATTTTAGTTATATGTACTATACGTGAATACAGTTTCCTTGTAGGAAATGAAACCATTGCAGATATAATCCAGCACCTCCTCTCCCAGTCCCCTTCCCCACCCCCAGAGGTAAACACAATGACCAGTCTGTTAGGTATCCTTTCAGAACTTTTTGCTATGTATTTACACCCAAAAATAGAAAATCATGGAAAATACACAATACCGCTTTGTACTTTAAAAAGAATTCACATACTGGTTTTATGCTATACATTCTATTCTGCAACTTGCTTTTCTCACTCAGCAGAATGGTCTAGAAATCTACCAATGTTAGTCCATATAGATCTGCTTTGCTCTTCTCTTAACTGCAATATATCCCATAATTTGGACATTTGGGTAGTTTAAAATTGTGCATTGTGTGTTTTTCTAGTTAAAAAATACCAGTTTTCCCACACCTTTGCCAACACCTATTATAAAACTTTTGATCTTAACAATCCAATGGGTGGCAAATGGTCTTATTTAATTTGCATTTTTCTGATAACTAGTGAGGCTGAGCATCTTTTCATATAGTTGTTGGTTATTTGCATTTCTTTTTCTGTCAATTTTCTATTCATAGTCTTTTTCTTTTGAGCAACTTCTTTCTTATTGATTTGTAGGAGTTCTTTATATATTGTAAGTAGTAATCCTTTGTTAGGTATATTGCAAATGTTTTCAATTCCTTTTCTAAACTTCAAGTCTTTTAGTGATTCCCTCCATTGGATGAAAACTTTGTAGCCATTTCAGGTTTTTAAAAGCAGGTGTATTTGCTTGCTAGGGCTGCCATAAAAAGCTACCACAGACTGGGGTGCTTTTTTTTTTTTTTCCTTTTTGTCTTTTTTCGTGTCCGGCAACGGATTGCAACCCTCAGTGTCGCGCCTGTACCGGACCGGGACCGGCAACGGGATCGCAACCCTCGGTGTCGCACCCGCACCTCGCTCAGCCAGTGAGTGGGAACCGGTCTGTATGTGGGATCCGAACCCTCGGTGGGAGCGCCACCATGCTCCCAAGTGGCGCACTGTAGCAGTGCGCCACCGGGCCGGCCCCCCAGACTGGGGTGCTTTAACAGAAATTTATTTTCTCACAGTTCTGGAAACTAGAAGTCTGAGGTCAAGGTGTTATCAGGGTTGGTTTCTTTTGAGGCCTCTCTCTTTGGCTTACAGATGGCTGACTTCTCGTTGTATCTTCACATGGTCGTTCCTCTGCACACATCTGTGTCCTAGTCTCCTTTTCTTATAAAGGCACCTGTCCTATTGGAGTAGTTATATTGGACACCAACCATATTGGATTAATAACCTCATTTTAACTTAATTACCTCTTTAAAGACCCTGTCTCCAAAAAGTAGTCATATTCTGATACAGTGGGTGTTAGGACTTCAACATATGAATTGGGGGGAGGGGCACAATTCAGTCCGTAATAGCAAGGTAGAGGGAAGAGGACCAACTTTCAGAGTGAGAGCCAGGTCCACACCTGTCTCTTCTGGAGCTGGGCCCTGGTTGCAGGTGGGGTCAGGCCCCAAAGCCAAGAAGACTGTCTCCAACATGATATGACAAGTGGCTGACTGGTTCTCTTCTCCTCCAACTCCCAAGGTGCTCCAGCCCCCAGTTCACTCAGCTACACTCACCATGTGTGAAGAGGAGACCACGGCACTTGTGTGTGACAATGGCTCCGGCTTGTGCAAGGCGGGCTTCGCAGGAGATGATGCCCCCCGAGCTGTCTTCCCCTCCATCGTGGGCCGTCCTCGCCACCAGGTGTGTGCTCATGTGGATCCAAGGCTTTGAGCCACTAGGAATAAGCAGTGCGCTGTGGAGACTATGCTGATCTGTGCATGTGTGTGAGTATGTGAGAGTGTGTGTGTGGGGAGGGGGGCTCTTTTCAAATCAACTGATATAGCAGGACCCTTTAAATAGAAATATCCAGGGCCAAACCCAGTATCCATCAGATACAAAATGATGGTATTATGTCTGGCTTAAGTTTGGGGGGGTTGCTAGGTTTAAAAGAAACTTTTTAAACTACATGCAATTGAACAAGCCTCTTGTCTTTAAGAAATTTATAGTCCATGAAGATACACAACTAATTTGAGATCGTGGGCTATAGGACAGGCAAAATACTTCCAGGGGAGCACAAAGGAGGGAGGGATAAAATCTGAACAGAGGGACTTGGGAAGGGGAAGACTTCATAGAAAAAGGGATACCTTAGAATAAGGAGAATTTTAGCAGATGGAGAGAAGAGTGTGAGCAAAGATTTGGAGATGTAGAAGTGCAAAAACAGGGTATCTGAGGAGGGCAAGCACAAGTCCAGTGTGTGTGTGTGTGTGTGTGTGTGTGTGTGTGTGTGTGTGTGTGTGTGTGTGTGTGTGTGTGTGTGTGTGTGTGTGTGTGTGTGTGTGTGTGTGTGTGTGTGTGTGTGTGTGTGTGTGTGTGTGTGTGTGTGTGTGTGTGTGTGTGTGTGTGTGTGTGTGTGTGTGTGTGTGTGTGTGTGTGTGTGTGTGTGTGTGTGTGTGTGTGTGTGTGTGTGTGTGTGTGTGTGTGTGTGTGTGTGTGTGTGTGTGTGTGAAGTAAGGTGAGGGGAGGAAATATATGGATGGGCCCTGTTTTCTCTCAGAAAATGACATTGTCTTCTCTCAAGAGAGATCAGCACACAAGAAATTCTCCACCTTCTCTTCTGTCCCCTCCTCCATACTCACCATCATCTGTCCCATGTTTGTCTCCTGCTGTTCTGCTTCTAGGGGAAGAAAGGCTCTTTTTCCTATATCCTCATCCTCATTAAGAGAACTTCTGGTGCCTGAATCTCTCTGTGTGGAGCCCTTGGCCAATTCCCTGCTCTTCCTTCCTCTTTTGCATTGCAGGGTGTAATGGTGGGAATGGGCCAGAAAGACAGCTACGTGGGGGACGAGGCTCAGAGCAAGCGAGGGATTCTCACTCTCAAATACCCCATTGAACACGGCATCATCACCAACTGGGACGACATGGAGAAGGTATCTGTGCACTTCCCCTAATGTACTTATTTTAATGATAAGGTATCATCATGCCCCTCATTTCCCATAGACCACTGTGCTCTGTCAACTCTTTCTCCAAAATGTTTCTCACATCCTTTTTTCTTCCTTTCCATCCCTATGATCATTTCTCCAACCCAGGATGCCAACATTTCACCCTGGACAATTGTAATGGCTTCCCAGCTGGTCTCTTTGTCTCCTGACCTCTCTCATCCAATTAATTCTCTACCTGCTGCAAAGTTTATCTTTCTAAAAACAAATCAGTTTGTGTCACCCACCTCCTCAGGAATTTTTGGTAGCTCCTCATTAATCAGCAGTCAGTTCCTAACTCCCTGTCCTGGCACTTGAAGACCCAGCCCCACCGAATTCCCAGCTTCATCATTTCATGCAGCGTTCATTGTAGCCAGCGCTTACCCATTCTTTAAAATGCTGATAATGCCTCAAAAGAGGCAGACTGCCCTCCAATAGCCCTCTTTCCCTTTTATTTTCTCTGTCATGACTTCAGATAGATGTATGGATGCTATATTATTATAATGACTCTCCAATGAAAATTTTCAGTAGGACTCTAGGGGTTTCTAGAAGTTTTCTTTGTAAAAAAAAAGCAGGGAGGGGGGAAAAATTTTTAAATGGTAGAGTTTGTGATGGACAAAATCATGTGTCAACATGCTAATAGAGCCTTCCTAATATTCTTTTGATCAATCCTACTGACAGTTGTCTGAGAGGTCTTGTTTCCACAATGACTGTCTTTTTGAGATGTAATAGAGGGCTTTGTGAGCAGAATTAAGAGATGTGAAATCTGTAATTCACTTACACTTTTCTCTAAATCCTAAATTCAGTCACTCTGGATGTGATATAAGTTTATAAAATGCAATTGCTTTCTCATTAGACAGTGGAGACCCTGAAAGCAGTGGCAGAGAGATCTGGGGCAAATCCCACCCGCTAAGCCTTAGTTTCCTCATTTGTGAAGTGGAGATAGAAATACTTGGTTGCTTTAGAGATTGAATTAGGTAAATACATAGTATAATCCCAAGGTGTGGAACATACTTAGTGCTCAATAGATGACACATATTCATGTATATCTAACAATATCTAATTTGAAAATATAAGTAGACAAAATATTTCATTCGCAATAGTGACAACATGTGAACTCTTTCAAGAAACCCCTAAAAATATATTATGTGCCTTAAAATAAAAACTGAATAGGGTAAAGGTGTCAAATCTCCCCAATGTATAGGCTCATTGCCATTCCAATAAAAATTATGCAAAATAATCATAAAGTAGGTTTGGAGAAACAAATAGACAAAAATTATGAGAACAAAATGAGTAAGAAAAATTATAAAGGAGGCTTGCCATATTCAAATAGTAAAATGTAATATAAAGTTATAAAAATTAAAACAATTTGGTATCAGCACAAAGGTAAAGAGGAAATATATAATGAATGAAACTTTTAACCAGAGGGGAGAAAAAGATTATTCAATGAATTATTCTGGGACAACTGATTAGTTATTTTGGAGGTGGAGTAATCTTCAGTTATAGCCCTTACCTTATACCATTTCACCAAACACATATCAATTGAATATAGAACTTAAATATAAAAATCAAATGATAAAAAATACAATAAAGTAAAATGTGAGCATCTAATCAAATTTCTGATGAAAATGGTCATAGAGAAAAAGTATAACAAATTTGACTTCTTAAAAATTATAACTTCTAGTATGTCAAAAATAAAACCAAATTTAAAAGCCAAACAACAAATTGCAAAAAATATTACGAGTGCATTGAAGGATTAATATACACAACTCGTGCAAATTGATGATTAAAAATATGAACTGTTCCCAGACAAATAAACAAAGGACATGAACAGATAATTTGCGAAACAGAAATTGTAAAAAGTTGCAAATGTGAAAACTCATTTGAAACAAATAAAAAAATTAAAGCAAAACAACTAGGTATGATTTTTACCTATCTAATTATTTCATGTTCTAGGAGTGAGAACACTGAACTCAGGTAAGGGTGAGATAAAACAGCCACTTTCTTATTCTGAAGGAAAGAGGGGTTTAGCCTCTTTGATGGTGATAGAAACCAAAAAGTCTTCCAATTGCCATGCCCTAGCCCTGTACAGCACCAGCCTGGTCAATAATAAACAGTGAAAACTGAGCCCAAGTGTCTCTGTGAGGTTCCCAGCCAGAGACAGTATATACTCAGCTGGGGATCTGAAACAGATTAAATGAAGGACTACTTACAGAGGTATGAGCAGGGTTAAGGCAGCCAGAATGGGACATTGAGGCACCCAAGTACCAGCAAGAGTAGGAGCTCTTACACCCCTACGCCTGAAGGGGCAAGGTGGGGAAACAGGGTCTCTAGAGCTCAGTGAGAGCTGGAGCCCTGGAAGAGGAGTCATCCAACGGGAGCTGTGTTCATGGAGGGTCACACCATTGCTGGGAGAAATACTCTGACCTTTCTCTCCTCCCACCATCCAATGTCTTGCTGGTATCTTCCATCAGCCAAACAAAGTCAGAAGCCAGAAGCAGTGAACACTGAGTGATGCAATGGGCCTGGCCCCCCAGGGCACAAAGCAGGGGAAGAAAGGAAGCAGAGTGAAGAAGGGGGAAGCTCAAATGCAAATAATCAACACACACGTATATTGGCCCCAGGTCTGTGTCCAGCCTGGGGCCCTGTTGAGGAGGTATATGCCCTCTACATGTCAATCAGAAATTCCCAGGGCTGCCCATTCTCCTCTCCAGATCCAGCCCCATCCTGTACAGCATTGTGCCACACTCCAGCAACATGGGCATGTCAATCAGAATTTTCCAGCCCACTGTGAGTCTGCTGGGCTCATCTGGCTTTTGTCTCAACCAGATCTGGCACCACTCCTTCTACAATGAGCTGCGAGTAGCACCTGAAGAGCACCCCACCCTGCTCACAGAGGCCCCCCTAAATCCCAAGGCCAACAGGGAGAAGATGACCCAGGTAAGAGGCCAGGAAAACTTGAGCAGTGGCACAAGAATGCAACATGGATGCGTGGCCAGGTACTTTCTCCCCTTCAGACATCAATGCAACAGAATTTTTTAAGGACCTGTTATGGGAGCAGTCCATGCCAGGCCCTATGGGAGGTGGGTGTGGGATAAAGAAGTACTAAATTAAAGTCCCTGCCCTCAATAAGATTCAAACCATTCTGTAGCCAAGAGGTACTGTCATTTTTGCCAAACTATCCATTATTCTTATTGTCCTTTCAGATCATGTTTGAAACCTTCAATGTCCCAGCCATGTACGTCGCCATTCAAGCTGTGCTCTCCCTCTATGCCTCTGGCCGCACAACAGGTGAGTAGCCTGGAATCCACTCCTTTTCTGACTTCAGAGGAGGTGGGGAAAAGCTGGGCTCCTGCTCAGAAGAATCCAATAGAAAGCCAAAGTCCAGGGAAAATCCTTCTTAGGAATAACAGATGGGGTTGCCCATGTGGAATGCCAGATGTGAGACTACCCAGTAGAGTTGTAAGGAATTTACACAACTAGAGCGTAACTAGTACATCCAGTGAGGGCTGCTGCTCTCACAGTAGTCTTTCCAGGAGTTTATACACACATTCCAGCAATATTGGAATGTTTCCGACTCATGAAGCAGCGGCAGTAGAACCTGTGATGGTGGATTGTTAGGTATGTGGCCCAGGTATAGAAAGGTGCTCAGGCAAACAGAGAGAACTTCAATATAAAGTGATCCTTAGTAGGGACTTGACAGCTTCCATAAACATTGTTCAAATATTCATTCATCAGATATTCATTGATTTATCCATTTATTCATCCATCAAATATTTTCCATTACTCCCTGCAATGTGCTAAGCTCTGTACCAGGCCGTGGGCATCCACTAACAAACAAGACAGCTCCCGCCATTGCAGAGCTAACAGTTCAGTTGGGGGGAGACAAAAATAAAAGATAATTTCACTGCAGGTGATAAGGACAGTGATGGGAAAATGCATGGCATATGCAATTTTGTATCCTGCACCTTACATTAATTTTATGTTGTAAACATGTTTAATGCCCATATGGTAGTCATTGTATGATGGTTCCATAATTTATTTAGTTTACCATTTCTCTGTTGTTGGACTTTTAGGTTGTCTCTAATTTTTATTATAAAATATGCTGTGAACAAGATCCTTGTACAAGAGTAAATTACTGGTTTCTGGATATTTATTTTGCATCTGGCCCTTTCTGAACCATCTAATTAGGTCTAATGGTTTGTTGGTTCTCTTGGGTCTTCTAGGTATAAAATCCATATCATCTGCAAATAATGATAATTCTGTTTCCATTTGTTAGTAATACCTCTTATTTTTACTTTCTGCTTTATTGCATTGGCTAGAACATTCAAGGCAATATTAAATAATAATGGTGATATTGTGTTTCCCCATCAATTATGATGGGGCTATTGGTTCAAGAGGGTTTTATGCTGAGAAAGCTTACTTCTTTTTATGAATTACTAAAAGTTTCATCAGTAGAGATTGTTAATTTTTTTTTTCAAATCGTCTGGTTTTCACAGCCCCCTCCAGATCTAACATTCTGATTGTGTGTGCATATGTGTTAGTTTGATGCCCACAGGATGTGTAAATGATCCAGTCTGTATTTAATGCAAATCAACAAGTGTGTGTTACCGCAAATTTTTCAAGGAATACAAGAAAAGGAGACATTTTACTTGCCTTTTGGAGGCCTACAGTCTCATTTGGAAGAAAAAAATTGATGTGTACAAAATATATGATTGATGATTCTCACAATGGGTGAATTTTCTTTTTTTTTCTTTTTTTGTCCTTTTTGAGACCGGCCGCACTGCGCTCAGCCCGTGAGCGCTGTGAGTGCACTGGTTGGAAGAAAAAAATTGATGTGTACAAAATATATGATTGATGATTCTCACAATGGGTGAATTTTTTTTTTTTCTTTTTTTGTCCTTTTTGAGACCGGCCGCACTGCACTCAGCCCGTGAGCGCTGTGAGCGCACTGGTCATCCCTATATAGGATCCAAACCCGCAGCGGGAGCGCTGCTGCGCTCCCAGAGCCACACTCTCCCGAGTGCGCCACGGGCTCGGCCCATGATGGGTGAATTTTCTTAACTGCTAAAGGAAAATATGGTAACTGAAGATCATTTCATAATAGGTCCCAGGAAGAGATAGATGAAAGACAAGAATGAGGTTTTCATAGGTCTTATCCTCTCTGCCACAGGCATTGTCCTGGATTCAGGGGATGGTGTCACCCACAATGTCCCCATCTATGAAGGCTATGCCCTGCCCCATGCCATCATGCGTCTTGATCTGGCTGGCCGCGATCTCACGGACTACCTCATGAAGATCCTCACAGAGAGGGGCTATTCCTTTGTGACCACAGGTATCCAGCCCCTTTCCTGATTCTGACTTGAGGTCATAATCAAATTTGATCTAGGACCAGAAGTTCTCAGGACTTATGCAAATTCTGGGGCCCTGTCCTCAAACTCTCTTCGGGTAGACTGGGAGTCCAAAGCTGGGGCTGGGCTCTGGACAAGATCAGATGGTCAAGGCAGCCTTGTTTAAGGAGGAAGGGATTCCTGACCAAGACCCCCTGGGGAGGGGCACAAGGCTTAGGCCTAGCTGCCCTAAGTAGCACTTGGCTGAGCCCTCCTTCATACCCTTTCCCAGTGTTCCCTCCTTCCCCAGGGACCAGCTACTTCTCTCCATCTCTATACCAGGATCACAGCTAGTTTCTACAGGCCTGAATGGTAGTAAAGATCTGGTGATGCATTTTATTACTCAGGGGTGCCTGTGTCTGAGGACAGATGGAATCAGTGAGGTCTGAATTTCTAAGGGGAAGGTTTTATGTGGCCCACCTGGGCAAGAGGAGTTTTTAGGTAGGTGCCTTTCTAGATTCTGTAAGATCACAAAATATAAGTCTGAGTCTGGATTGAAAATATGTCCTTCAAGGCCCCTGGGAAGGCCCATGGCTTTGGCAGGACAGAATGATTAGAACAAAGGAGAAAATCCCATGTAAAGTCTTGCTTGGGAATCAATATTTTGTACCCCACTTCAGAAAGAGGTGGGAAATTAACATGGGATGGAGAGACCCTTGACCCTCTTCAGGAAGAATTCTATCATCATCCTAAGACTGAATCTAAAATAGATGTAAGTTGGAGGTTCTCATGGAGATCAAAATGGGACAATCAAATAACAGAGCCGAGTATCCACTTTCTGTCATTTCTGCTCCTTCTAGCTGAGCGAGAAATTGTGCGAGACATCAAGGAGAAGCTGTGCTACGTGGCCCTGGATTTTGAGAATGAGATGGCCACAGCAGCCTCCTCTTCCTCCCTGGAGAAGAGCTATGAGCTGCCAGATGGGCAGGTCATCACCATTGGCAATGAGCGCTTCCGCTGCCCTGAGACTCTCTTCCAGCCTTCCTTTATTGGTGAGGTGCTGCCCATAGTCCCTGCCCATCCATCCGGAGGGCAGGGTGAAGGGGTGGGAGAGGTATGGAAAGAGAAACACCAGGAGTCACAGACGCATTGTTTATTATTACATCTACTCCACATCTTCCCAAGAAGGGCCAAAAATATATAAACAATACGACCGAGAATATCTAACTTTAAGTAAATGGTTAAGGAAATCAAGATAAAGGAAAAGAAGGACTGGGAATATAACATGAAACTAGGAATGAAGTAAACACATGAAATGTTTTTAGGCTGTACTTGAGGAACATTCCTTTAGCTACAGTGAGGAATTATATTGCATGGAAAAAAGACTGGAGGCAGGGGAGGCCACGCAGGGGGGCATGAACTGGTTTGGCTTGCAGGACCTTTCCCTGTGGAAGAACTTGACGCCAGGCTATGGTAGCTAGATGTCAACCTGTGGGCCCTGGGGGACTGTCAAAGATGATACGATGGGAATGTCCACACAATGGAATGCTTTTTAGCAATAAAAAGAATGAAGTATTGATACATGCTGGGACACATATGGACCTGGAAAGCATGCTGAATGAAAGGAGCCAGACAGGAAAGACCACCTATCATAGGATTGCATTTATGTAAAACATCCAGAACAGGCAAATCTCTAAGGACAGAAAAGAAGACCACTTCTTACCTAGGGCTGGACCTGGGTGGAGAAGAAAATGGGGAGTGACAGCTATTGGGTATGGGGTTTCTTTCTGGGGTGTTAAAAATGCTCTAAAATTAGATTGTGGTGATGGTTGCACAACTCTGTGGATATACTAAAAGCTATTGAACTGTACACTTTAAAAGGGTGAATTTTATGGTATGCAACTTACAACTTAATAAAGCTATGAAAAAAGATGATATGATGAAAGTGTTCCTTCAGAAATATGCCTCGGGCAACAGTGGGAAAGGTCAAGCAGAACAGGGGGAAACTAAAGGCAGGACCATGACCAGGTAGGGTTTCTGAACTTGTAATTCTTTGGGGAGTGATTAAAGGTCTGAACTAGGGTATTTGCAACAACAGGCAAAGGGCCTTATGAGGAGCTGGAGGTGTGAGTATTTATGAAATGGTGGCTAATGAGTCAATACTGCGATCTCCACTAGGCATGGAGTCTGCTGGAATTCATGAGACAACCTACAATTCCATCATGAAGTGTGACATCGACATCCGTAAGGACTTGTATGCCAACAATGTCCTCTCTGGGGGCACTACCATGTACCCTGGCATTGCTGACAGGATGCAGAAGGAGATCACAGCCTTGGCCCCCAGCACCATGAAGATCAAGGTGGGTCTTGCCCCAGTTTCCTCCACCCTGTTCTTTGTACAAAGATCAGTCTTCCTGGGAGATGCTGTCTGGCCCGGCAGCTTGGTGGTCTCCTGGGTTCAGCACCAGCCTAGTCTGGGGCCAATTTTATCTCAAGAGATTGTGTTCCTTGGGCACTGATAGGCTGGAGACATACTTAGTGTGGGATCTCAAACATAATCACATGGATGTCATATGAGAAGGGGTGGAAAGGATTTGGGATGAAGAGAATATTGAGGGGGTTGAGGAGGAAATCAGGAGGAAGGAAATGGAAGGGAGAAAAGGAGGCAACACTACAGCATCTTTAAACTTTAAAAAGGATTTGAACATTACCCCAGAGGAGGTAAAAGTTCCAAAGAGAGGATGTTTGGCTGTAGGGCTGACTGCCACTTCAAACTCACAGAGACATGTCTTGATTCCTGGACATCCTCCAGCATACTGCCCCATCTTGGCTACAGCCTTCCCCACCCTGCTTTTCACCAGGGCTTCCCACCTTTTGAGCCTCTGCAGAATGGGAGCCCCCCATCTCTACAGCTGCTCCCCAGCCTCCAGGCCCCAAGCAATCATACAGACCTTTTAAGGGCTTCTAGGAACTTTGTTGCTAACAGGTTTAGAAAAAGAGTTGGAAACAGAAAAAACAAATGTTTGAAAGTTACAGTGTCTCACAATAAAGCTGGTATTGGGGGAGCAGGCCTGATGTGAGGAAGTATGTTCTCTGGCAATATTCTAAGAAACTTCACAAAGGAAGGCTGCCCCAGGCCCTCCCCCTGCCGAACAGAGGGTGCTCATCGCAGGAAAGCAGAGCAGGCCCCCGGGAAACTTGTGAGAACCTGCGGGCTCTTCTCCCTCAGAGACACAGGAACTGTGCACTTACTGAGGGCTGCCATGTGGAAGGCACAAGGAAGGCTGCCCCAGGCCCTCCCCCTGCCGAACAGAGGGTGCTCATCGCAGGAAAGCAGAACAGGCCCCCGGGAAACTTGTGAGAACCTGCGGGCTCTTCTCCCTCAGAGACACAGGAACTGTGCACTTACTGAGGGCTGCCATGTGGAAGGCATCATACCAGGCCTGGGATGGGGCTTTTTACCAGGTCCGTGTGTCAAGACATCCACACCTAGCCTCACCCCCAGAATCTGGTTCAACAGGTCTGGAGAGCCCCCATTACCTATACTGATAAGCAACCACCAGTCATCTGATGGATTTCCCAATTCAAGGGCCACTGCTCTGAGCTTAACAATATGTGTCAGCCTTCACAGAGTTTTGGATCTAGTTAGTGGACATGATCGATGCAAGGGCAACCTAAATAAGACAAAAGGAGGGGAAAGGTACTCCAGAGCAGGGGAAATGGAGCAAGCAAAGGTGCCCAGGGGTGTGTGCAAGCATCCTAACCACATTAAACAGCAGGGTTTGTGTAGAGGAATTGGGGGAGATGAGGCAAGCCTCAAGGACATGGAAGAAGAGACTTGGGGTTGAGGGGAGCTGAAATTTAGGACCGCCCACCTAAGACAAGCCAGAGTTTTCTCACAGCTAGAACTGCCCAGCAATAAAATCTGTTACCTTCCTAGTGGCTGTGCATTCCCAGTCCTTGAGACTTCTGTCCAAGGAGCATCTGGGTGAGTTTAGTCTGCCTGAATAAGATAACTTCAAAAGATCCTTCTTATTCTGCAATTCCATGATTTCTGCAATTTAGATAATATATAGAAAGATTGTAAGGAGACAAAAAAAATCAATTTAGTATCTGGTTTGCTCTAGCACTGAATTCTCAGACCCTTCAGAAACTAAGAAATTAGTTTGAGTCATCGTCCTTTTGGATCTGCTTTTAGGTGGAGTTCAGAGTTGTTTGACATGACAAAAAATTAAGCTCAGGACTCCTAGTGGGAAGGATGAACAATGTATTTATGAATTTGAGAACTTCTCAGATATAAATCAGGGTCTGGGTAGACAGGCTTAGACTCAGGAATGGAGGAAGCCCAGCCCAACCTGCCAAAGCACCCATACTCCAGACAAGAACAAAACAGGGCTGCCACTATAGATGTTTGTATTGGTCAGCTATTGCTGAGTAACAACCAACCACAAAATCTCAGGGGCACATAACAATAAGCATTTATTGCTCCTGCATGTGTAGATCAGCTGGGAGTCAGCTGACCAAGGTCAGGCATGGTTAGACAGCTCTGTTTTAACTGCAGGTCCAGCCAGCTCAGATCAAATCCACATGTCTTATTATGAGGCCCAGGCTGAAGAGCCAACAGCTACTCGAGGAAGTTCTTCTTGGGCAAAAGAGAGCATGCCCAACTGCACAAGCAAATTGCAAGCCCTTGTTTGGGTCATAGCTGCCAACATCCCATTGGCCAAAGCAAACACATGGCCCAGCCTAAAGTCTCAGGGTGGAGCAGTGCACTCTTCACACCAAAGGGCAGAAGGAGGGATGGGGACTGAAGATTTTGAGCAATATCTAATCTACCACAATGTTTATCTTGTTTGTTTCTGACCTTGGTGGCTGCCCTTTCCCAGGGCAGCCTGGCAGCATGACAACATGATATCAAGACGACCTTGCCTATCCCCCTGGGGACTGATCATGATCCACCACATTTGCTCTTTGCAGATTATTGCTCCCCCAGAGCGGAAGTACTCAGTCTGGATCGGGGGCTCCATCCTGGCCTCTCTCTCCACCTTCCAGCAGATGTGGATCAGCAAGCCCGAGTACGACGAAGCAGGGCCCTCCATTGTCCACAGGAAGTGCTTCTAAAGTCAGAACAGGTTCTCTGAGGACCCCCTCGAGACTGCTCTGTTACCAGTCATTAAACATTAAAACCTATAAGCCTTACTTCTCTGTGTGGGGCTCTTTTTTTTCCTGGGCTGTGTCTCACACACAATGTAAAGGACTTTTCACACATGATTTCTAATCCACACAATAACCCTGTGAGGTAGGTGCTATTATTATCCCCATATTGCAGATGAGGAAGTTGAGGCTCAGAGAAATTAAGGTCTTGCTGAAGATCACATAGAATCAAGATTAAAATTCAAGTGTATCTGACTCCAAAGCAAGTGCTCCTTCTTCTAGGCCATCTTGTCTCCTTTTCCTTCAACATGAGTAAAAATGAGGGCTAGATGACTCTTGGGAGTTAAGAATCACAGCCTTTCAGAGACATAAGTCCTTGTACTCAAGAATGATACACTAGAGAATACCAACACAAAGAGTTATGACAGAAGCCACATAAGTGTGACATATGAGCAGGTCAAACAGTGCTATTTTATCTCAAGTGAAGGAAGGTCATAGTGGGCTTAAGATCTCTATGAAATCCTTTGTCATTGAGGACTAGGTTGCATTTTGCCCCCGAATTAATCAATAAAGGAGCAGAACCCTAAGGAAAAACATTTTCTCTCCCTCCCTCCCATCCGCCCTCCTCCTGCTCCTCTTCCCCTCCTGTTCCTCCTCCTCCTCCCCCTTCTTCTTTATCTTCTCTCTCTCCTCATTTACTTCTTCTCCAACCCCTGCCCCTGGTCAATTCTGTTTAATTTTACAAGTATTTAGTGAATTTTTGGCATCTAGAATTGCTGGATAAATCTACAAAGGATGGGCCGGCCCGGTGGCGCACTGCTACAGTGCGCCGCTTGGGAAGCGTGGCAGCGCTTCCTCCGAGGGTTCGGATCCCACATACAGACCGGTTCCCGCTCACTGGCTGAGCGAGGTGCAGGGGCAACACCGAGGGTTGCGATCCCTTTGCCGGTCCGGGTCCAGTACGGACACGACACTGAGGGTTGCGATCCGTTGCCAGTCACGAAAAAAGACAAAAAGGAAAAAAAAAATCTACAAAGGATTTATGTTCCCCACAAAGATGATTCCTGCCCATCAGGGTTTCACTGCATAGAGGGGGAGTTAGACACACACGAGACAATGATATGAAGTGAAATAGACATAGCCACAAAGCACTATGAAAAAATAAGGGATAAGAATAATAGCTAACATTTATTGAGTGCTTAGAATATGCTAAGGGTTAGGAATCTTACATGGATTTCTTCATTTAATCTTCATCGCAGCTCTATGAGGCAGGTACTAATATCATCCTCATTTTAGTTTTCTAGTTACTAGGCCACCTGGCTAGTCGGTGGCAGCACAGGTCCTCCCTCTGCCTAGTGCACCCTTCCCTCTCTCCACCTAGCCAAGTCCCAGCCTTCATGCCCCTGATCACATCCCACCTGGTCCAGAGCCTTCCCAGACACACCCGTTTAGAGACAGTAGAGCCTAGCACAGGGACTGCAACATCACACATTCCTCTTTCACCATCACCACACTTCCCCTGTGGGGATGGGGTGGGGTGGAGGAACATGTTTTTTTTTAAAACAAACAAACAAACAAACAAACAAACAAACAAACAAACAAACAGGTTTTCCAAAAGCAGATCCTGAAATGAGGATTCACATGCAAGTGACTTATTGAGGAAGTGCTCACAGTAGAAATTGGTAAGCAGAGTGGGAGAGGAGGGGGCGGCTGCAGCCTGAGCCCAACCCGGGAGCTCTGGAATCTATGTGGAGCCCAACTGGAGTCAAACGAGCTGGGCTTTCACAGTCCCACACCTGCCAGTGACAGGTGAGGGCACACCATGGGGTACGTAAAGTCCTGGGCTTTCCACTTCTACTGGCAAGTAGGCAAGTAGGCTGACGGCTCCTCCAAAAAAGAGCCATGGGCATTGGCTGTTGGAAGAGAAAGCACGGGGGGAGACCAGAAGGCAGACACACACACACACACACACACACACACACACACACGAGACCTGAGGAGCCACAGAGCGCTGACATTACCCGCTATAGAGGTCCACATGGGGGGGAATCTCCGCATGGGGGGAAGGGTAGGCTGACCAGGTCATTCCCCCCTCATCCCCCATCGATTCTACTCCTCGTCCCCATCCCCACCCAGTCTTGCCCCACTTAAAGAAAAAAAACAGCTGCCCTAGACTTTTCAGTGGATGTTGAGTTATCTGCTGATAGAGGGAGACAGTGGCTTGAGGAAAGTGGAAATCCGACAGAAAGTCAGTTAAAGATAAATAGATATAATGTCCCAGGCAGTGAGGGCCAAGCTGAAGGTAGCCATTGTAATGTCTACTGGGTGGTAACTGTGTGGCATGTGCTGTGTGTGGATTCTCTCTGTCAATCCCCACCCTGAGGCTATTGGAATCCAGAGTCTGCACTCTTCAGCACCTCCCTATATGCCTCTCTTTATGACTAGGTGTATCTGTCACGGTTCACTCAGGGGTGCAGAGCCATTATGGGTATTATGGCAATAAGGGATTGAGGGTGGGAGGAGCTGGGGAAGTGAAGGTCTGTGAGGAATCGTGGGATAATCAGAGAGGGGTCACTAATGCATGGAGGACTAGCTGGGATCTATCTGCTGGGCACATCTGTCTGTTATAGCATCTGACCAGAGAGATCTCCCTACAGGAGTGGCTGATGCTCCCATTCTGCCTTCCAAATCTCACACTAGGTACTCTTTGGCCAACTCGAACTCAGAGCCTTGTTGGGAGGACGTTCTGGAAATGAACTTTTCAGCTTACCCAAATCAATTTAGCACAGTCCAGCATGTTAGAAAATCTTTGATGTAGAAGAAATGTAGATGTCCAAAAAGTCCAAGCAACAGAACAAAGTCCGGGTCACATTTTTATATGCTTATCTCCCATTTTTAATGGCTGCATAACATTTTGTGTAATACTTTATGTAGTATTTTATTCATCACAGTGGCATTTACAAACATGTAAAAAAATAGTAAATCCTTCAGAGCTGCTCTCCAAGGACCAAGCACAGTGTCTGGCATATAGTAGATCTGTAGCAAGTATTTAATGAATGAATGGATGCTGAGTGACTAGAGTCCCTGTAGAGCAACATCAACTCTGACTCATAAACTCCAGCAGGTATCTGGTAAATCCCCAGGAGCAGGAAGTGGCCTCACTCTCCCAGGTAAGTGGGAGGTAATTCTGCTCACCAATATGCCACTACTTTCTATCTTCTGGCCATGACCTGAGCTGAGATGAAAAAGCCCTGTTTACCACTTCCCGGAGAAACTGATCACCGCCTTTTTGGGCTGGCTTCCTTGCTCATGATGATCCATTTTATTGCCCTTCCTCATGCATACAGGTGGAGCCCCAGCATCTATGATTGTTCCATGAGACCCTATCCCTTAGCCACAGTCGACTGGACTAAAGTTAGATACCTGATCACAGCTGAGCCAATCAGATTCTCTCCCCTGGGAATTCGGGATCGGAACCAAGAAAAATATTGAATTTTTATGCATAGTACAACATATAGTAAAACAAGCATAAATAAATAAAGGGGGATAGAAAGGTCATTACTAATGATAATATTAGCATAACTGACAGGGAATTTAGGCAAAAAATATATTACTTTCTTATTTTATACTATTCATCAAAAAAAAATTAATAATGCTTTTAGAGCAAGCCACAAAGTGAAAATATTCACAAGGACTCATATTCTAAACATATAAATAACAAAACAAGTAAAAGACAACCAACAGAAAAATGGGCATAAGACTTGAACAGGTCCCTCATTATAGAGGATATTGAAGTGGCCAACAAGCATCTGAAAAGATGTTCAATTTTATTAATCATCAGAAAAATGCAAATTAAAACTACAATAAGGCACCGTTATAGACAGCAGAATAGATAAAATGAGAAAAGCTGTTGGTAAGAACGTGGAACAACCAGAACTCTCACTCACGGATGGTGGCAGGGTCATCTGGTATAATCAAACACTGTAGAACTATCTACAATTTGGAAATATCTACTAAAGCTGAGCATACATATAACTTATCACACAGCAATTCCACTCCTAGGTTTACATCGAAGAGAAATGCATATTGTTGTTTACCAAAAGACATGTATAAGAATATTCATAGCAATACTCTCCAATGTGGCTCAAATCTAGAAACGCCCCCAATGTCTATCAGTAGTAGAATGCATAAAATACATTGTGGCATAGTGACATAGGGGAATACTATATAACAATGAGAATGAATGAACTACAGCTACTACATAGAATATGATTAAATTTACATATATTAAATGAAAAAAGTACTTACTATATGATTCCACTCTTACAAAAAAAAGGTAAAATTAATCTCTGCTGTGAGAAGTCGGTAGCTACCCTTGAGGGATGATAACTGGCAGGAGACATGGGGGATTCTGGGGACGCTGGAAATGCTCTATTTCTTGATCTGAATCTAGGTAATATGGGGATGTACAGTTGGTAAAAATTTCATTTAACTTTACTCTTACAATACATACTCTTTTCCTCACTACATATTATACATCACTATAAAGTTTTAAACAATACTAACTTTAGAAGCTCTAACTTTTAAGAGCAGTTTAGTTGCCTGCCTGCACCTATACCTGCAACTTCTTCATTTAACTTTCACAATGAACTTGAGGCAGTAAGACCCTGGGAATGCAGAGAGCCTCTCAGACTTTTTTGGATTAATATTTTCCAACTCTGCATTTACATAGGTAAAGAAATGTAAGCAGGGGCCAGCCCAGTGGCGCACTGCTACAGTGCGCCGCTTGGGAAGCGCGGCGGTGCTCCCGCCGAGGGTTCGGATCCCACATACAGACCGGCCGCTCACTGGCTGAGCAAGGTGCGGGGGCAACACCGAGGGTTGCAATCCCGTTGCCGGTCCCGGTCCGGTATGGGCGTGACACTGAGGGTTGCGATCCGTTGCCGGTCACGAAAAATAGACAAAAAGAGAAAAGGTCCCGGTCCGGTATGGGCGCGACACTGAGGGTTGCGATCCGTTGCCGGTCACGAAAAATAGACAAAAAG